TTTTTTTATATAGGACAAGTTTTCTAACAATGTTTTACTCTCTAAATTATTCTTCAATTTCTTGATACAGGAAGAGAAATGCTGCTACACATTTATTAATACCTCATCATAAAACACTAAAACACAGCTGTATAAATTCAATATTTAAAGACTAAGCAGTATAAATAGGTGAGATTTTCTCCACAAAATGATGACATTTCAGGTAAATTAATTTAATTGCTAAATTGAGCATTTTAAGTACTGAAGATCTCACTGAAATATGTATCACTTACATATCTGAGCCTGGAATTAAACTTTAGAAAAACTTTCTAATGCATCCTGACTTTTCATACACATAAGAAATCCTATTCTATGATTTCTGGAATGTTTTAAAATTCAAGCTGGCTAAGAATTCTTTCCAGCTGTCTGACCACCCCAGATTTGGCCTCAATTACAGTGGGAAGAGTTTTACAGTACTTAACAATTTTCTTCTATGGAAAAGACGACTTTTTTCCCCCCCCCTAAAACATAGCAAGAACTTAGTAGCTCTTTTACCACGAAGTCTGGTTTCCTGGGTCTTGATATTAGTCATTATTAGATATTACCAAAAGATATAATTTTAGATAAAAATATTTCTATTACTATTGCTGTAGTCTAAGTAGAGGCGTTTCTTGATGGTCTTTAAGGTTATTTTTTTTTCCTCCTGAACAGCTAATGTTTAACTTGGATTCCAAAATGCTTCAGAGCTTTTCAAACTTCGTTTGGCCAATAGATATACACATTCACTTTTAAATATCATCTGGTATCAATTCAGCCTGAAAGCTCATTTTTCATTTTGATGAATATAAACAGGTTTTTTTGAATCAGGGATTTTGGTTCTTCACATGTAGTTTCCACTTCAGAGAAGCAATATGTATGTTGTACAACATGACAAAACTCTCGACTCGCAGGCAGCCTAGCCTTTTGCCATGACGAAAGCCGACCACTTGCTTATTTACTGTCTCCCACGCAGTTTTCAATACCTACCTAAGAGGCTCTGATCAATGCATGTTCCATTCACCAGTGATTTTCCTTCTGGACAAGCACATGTTGCACCAGAAGGGTTGAGTAAACAAATGAATTCACATGTCAGGTCCAAGCATGGATTAGGCACTGTTTAAGAAAAGACAATATTAAAAATATTTTTTTTTAGAATCATACTTAAAGAGCTAGGAGAAAATAAATAATCAGATATAAAAATCCTGATACACTTCCAGTTTCCAGGATATCAACAGCCTGAAGTCAGTGAACACACTCACTCAAATGCCAGTGCAAGACGCAGAGCAGGATAGAATTTATTCCAGTAACAAAAACATAAATCGGTAAAAAACCTCATACAGTTGTGGCTGGAGGTATTTGTATTCAGCTCTTCTAATTTTTTTTTATACCTCATTTGCAGTGCAGGTACACTAGGTAAGCATTTGTCCAATGTCCTTTCCAACGGAGAAAATGAATCAAAAAATATAAATTAAACTTATATAAAGAAATATTACTAAATGTATTTTCAGTTTGTACAATCAGGCTCTGTTTTATATTTGTACAACTTGGTTTATGTTTTTTCCCCCTTGAGGTGAACTTGCTCAGTATTGAGTTTAAAGTAATTATGCTTACTCACAGTCCATTTGTTTGTAGCGGTGAAAAATCAAGGCACTTTTTGCTTTATCAACATCCACACTCAGATATTCTACAAGGCTTCTGCCAAATTTGTGTACTCTAAATGCGCCATTTTTAGGACCTGCTCCATATATGTAATCCTCAAAAACGTCAATTCTATGTGGATGCAGTAAACCTTAAATAGAAGCAAAAAAAAAATAAAAATATATATTTACAGTAAAATAATAACTTAATTTTATTAATAACTTCAATTGCATTACTGAAATTACCAGCTAAAAGACATTATTATGCAGACAGTTTGTTTTGTACTCACAAAGTACAAAAAAGTTCTTCCCATACTACAAGCAACTAAAATCAAGCTTTTGATTAACTTTCCACACAGTTCAGCCTCAGACAATGGTTGAATATTGAAAAGTAGGGAAATCCCACAGTAACAACCAGCTAATTAGAACATACTTAGCTGCAACACTTTAACTAGAAGTATGAGGCAAGAAAGAAAAGAGATTATTTTGCTGTACATAAAAGAAACTTTTCTGACAAAACATTTCTTCACCTTTTTCTTAACGTTTGAAATGCTAATTTTCATGCTACACTTATTTTAATTCATAATTATAGTAAATTGATGTAAAATAAAATGCTAAGCCTCTACCAAGTCCTCATTTTCAAGAGCTACGAGTGCTGATTAGATCACATAGTTGGATTTCTTATGGCTGTAGAATTTCACACATTTACTTGTGTAACAAGGTAATAGCTTGTTAAGAATAAAATTTCTTTGCCAGAGATGTATCTCTTCTTGATTTGAAGCCGTAAAGAAACAGAACTTATCATTCCTTTTGATACCTTGTTCCTAGTATTATTCCCATTTACTGTAAAAATGGTTTTATATTTCACTTGTATTTATTCAGTTTCAATCATCAGCTCACCAAAGCAAGTGTGAGCAAAGTTACCAGGAGGAGTTACTGTCTTATCAAATCTCTTGTCAGGCATCTGCATGGCATGGTTCAGTGTTACAGGAGGTGGTAGTCGGATCCCTACACTCAACAAAGTGATTCTTCTTGAGATAACCACTTCCATGTATATTGATCCAAGTTGTGAAATAAAATGCTATTAAACCAGAATAAGATGATTTAAATCTAGTACTGCTCAATTTGGATTATGGAAGATTTTTCCTATTATCTTTCAGAACCTCCTGGTGAATTCCAGATCATTGCTTAAAACTCTCAGCAGCACTAGACGTAGTATCATCCTGATGAAACCATCCACCTAAGCAATCCCCCAAAAAAGCTTGCTTTCAAATTTTTAAAATGTTCTGATGTTTCCTTTCTTTTGTATTAAAATTTCATAAATTGTTACATATATTATCAAATTGTTAAAAAGCCAACATGCAATCCTATAAAAACAAAGTTTGTTCAACCAGAATCTCTTTTCTTTTGAAAAGAACTTTCTTCATTCACATTCTGTTAGTAGAATTCTGTGATTACTTACTGACCTGAAAGCCAAATCCATTATTTTTCCCAGAATTGATTCAGGTCAACTGCTCTACAAACAATATAATTCCTGTGCTATGCAGACAGCTCTAATTTCTAACTAGTCAAGGTCCTCCTGTTGCTACATAAATCCAAGTGAGGCCAAGCATAAATATTAATCACAATGTCATTTGGTAATACCTAAGTTCATGATTAGATAACAATCTTGGAAATTTGCACATATCATTGAATATTTGTTCCCCTAAAGTAACTTTATCAGATTATCATAAAGCTTAAGTATCTCTTTGTTTAGATAATATCTGAAGTATTATCTAACAAAAGGCAACGAACATTACTTAATAATCACTGCTGTTTGCTTACATAGTTTCTCTGAATAGTGGAACTTCAGCCAAACAAAATAAAATTGAGAGCATGTTATATAAAAGCTCTTCATACCTTGTTTAGTGCTCACAGAGACAACTGAATCAGAACCATCAAAAAGAACGCTGCCAATGACAGATAATTCAAAATCAGCCCAAAACAAACGCTGACTGAACTGATCAACTACGAGACCTACAAAGAAAATAAAGTTGAAACAGGTACATAAATCTGAAAAAGAATTTGATGTTTTAATGTAACTGTATATTTTTATATCATTCCTATTCTTGTGAACTGAAAGCATTGTGACAATGAAAAAAACACGACTGGAAACCGAGGAGAATAAAATATAACACCTTCCACTTAAACGTTCCTCTTGAGACAACCATGGTTTTTTACTTTCTTGAGCTTACTCTTCCACAGTCAGTATCTTTTCAAACCCATTATTCTCAGCAGGTAGAGTCATATACCAAGTGGGAACTAAATCATAGAATCTAATCCTGTAATTTGCTCTACCAACAACAACAACAAAATCTATTATGTCGATAGATTTCTAAGCAGTAGCATCAGTGTGACCACGTGGTAAAAAAAAAAAAAAAAAATCAGATTATTTTAATTAAATTAGTGTTGAAAGTTTTAAACAGCAACATTTCACAAATATATGAAAAGCAAGCACAAGCCTGAGTGACTGAGAACTCAAATAAGGGTAAAAGATAGATAACGTTGGAACTACTTAGCCTCTAGACAATAACGAAATAGTTAAATCAAGCAGTTCATGTTTCACAGAGGATGATTAAATGATTAATATGGCATTTGAGGTCATGTCGAAAGCTTCAGCCTGAAAAAATATTTGAACCATAAAATAATTTAATTCTGAGCTTTTGAAGTTGTGGTGTATTTTTAATAGGAGTGGGAAAAAGTATTTTTCTTCCTACTTATGTAAGTAGGTAAGTCAGAAAAAATACATCAAAAGAAATTATACATAACAGCAAAAATTCTCTTTTTAGGGTCATAAATTAATCAGCTACAGATAGATGAGATGAAGAGGAGGAAGTCTGACACACAGATCAGTGAAATATGTTTACATTTGGAACTCTGTTAAAAAAAACCCTCTTTAAAAGAAGCACTGGTATTCAGGTATACAGCTAAAGAGAATAATATCTGGCAAAAGATAATCACAATGTGTCAGCTCTGTGTGATGCATGGTACCTGTAAGGGGGAATATTTCAGCAGCAGTCCCCAGACTCCAGCTTTAAATTATTCTTTGCGTTTTAATAAGAATATTTAAATATCAAATAATAAATACATAACATTCTCAATGTATCTTTCACAGTATAAGAGACAACATAGTGTAAAAAAAGTACTTTTTGTTTTATACATATAGCATTCCTGTCATAGTCATTTTTACATAAATCCTGTGAAGTCAAGACCAAATGCTTGAATTCTCACTCATTCTTATTTGAAATAGGAACGGCATATTTAGTAATAAATTTAAGAGCAGTGGAACTCAGGTCTTCAGTAAAATCTTAAACTTCATCTAAACAATAGTAATAAAGTCTCATTTGGGAGGAAATATTAAAGGCTTGGACTCTTTCTTTGTCTTCCCTCTGCAAAGACATGGATCTGTGTGAAATATCTGACAAAATATTAAAAGTTTTCATAAACATGTACTTTCTACCACGACATAAAGGAGGAAAAGCACAGGAGGATGCCACAAAAGTGTTTTCAAGCAGTAGGTACAGGAAAATGCAATACTGTGGCAAGGCACTTGTGAAACTCTCTCTTTGCAAAGTCTGCTCATTTTTGGTAATTCTGTTAATGTTCATTTTATTCATCCTTGTAAGGAGACAGAGGTCTGGTTAAATGTTTATATGAAACTTTTCTATATAAAATATACCAAGGAAAAATTGATGAAGAAAAGCTCCAGCAGTTCTACTTCTGGTCAAGAAAGTAGTAAACACTTCCATTTTCAGATAAGTTTGATAGCATTACTACCTAAAAAATTCAATAATTTCACTAATCCAATACTGCTGGTAAAAAAAAAAAAAAAAGCTTTAAATGCCCTTCAATGATCAAGGAAGCTGTGACTAGCTCCATATGACATAACCTTGGCAATCAACCAAGATGATAAAAATAGACAAAAAAGCACAATTCCAGCAACTAGAACCACATCTAATGATTTGTGCATCTGATATGTTCACAATGTTTTACTAAGAAATCCAAAGACTATCTATCAACTCTGATAAACATAAAATTCTGTTGTCTTTCAGTCTGAATAATCAGAAGATTTTTATCGAATTCACTACTGAATATGTATTTTTTTCTTATTATTATTGTGCTTCTTACTTACCCAAGGAGCACAAGCTTCCTCTCCTCAAACCTTTCCTTATCACATACGTAATTTCTTAAATTGCTATATTTCAATCTAATCAGTTCAATAAAGTAATGGTTTTTTTTAAGGGATGAATGTAATTTGCATATGCAACACCACAAGCCCACCTTAGCATGGGATTTAACAATCTGTTAAAGTATTATTACTTGTTGCTGTGATAGTGGCAGCTTCTGAAATGCTTAGATATTCAGATAGCACCGTCTTGAAAGAAGCCTGTTTCAACAGATATGCGTACCAAAGTTGGACAACCCCTAATTTGCAATGCAATAACAACAAATTATCATTGTAAGCCTGGAGAAACATCAAATATTGCATGAGAAAATGGGTCACGAACAAATCATTTGCGGTTTCAAGGCAGAATGCTGCTATTTGAGAGGCACACATTTCATTCTGGATTTATCATTTCCTTTGTCATAAAAATTACTTTTATCCTGCCAATGGAGTCTTAATGGTAACTTGCAAGATCTCAACATGTATTGTGTCAAGTTTCAAAACAGTTCTGTAAAATAGTGAGATAATGAAGTTGTTGCTTCTTTGAATACTTCAACCTTGTATTATACTATGTTGTAGTGTATTCAGAAAGGTAACTAGAACAGGCTGTGAGATTTCATATGCATTCTTAAAAAATGTGTCTTACCACTAACTGGTGTTCCCTTAATTGATTTTTGCCTGTTCAGTGCTATGGAACAAATCATATTTTAACTGATTATATATAGTCCTTTGTTCCTGCTTTGTAAAATCATCATGGTAAGCTTTGTTACAAAAGTTTAAGTCATATTAAGATGTATCACTTGAAAACAGAAGCAAGAATTTTGATTAGTAAACTGCACATGAATAACCAGAATACATATTTTTTTAAAGTATATAGTTTTTTTTTCAAACTGAGAAACTGGAATTCAGCCAACAAATCTACACTGAGTTAGCAAGTGCCATGCAATTAGGAAAAACGGATAAGTTGTATACCTGTAGGTCTTTGTAAATTTTTTTGAACCAATATCCTTCTCAGAGTACCATCCATAGACGATTCTTCTATGTGAGAGCGATCCCCAATAACTGTCCAGTACATCATCCTAAAATGTTAAACATAGAGAATGAGTTAGATGCCTACACAGAACCTCAAAACACTTCACTGATATTAAATTATTATGAATTTTCAAGCCTACCTGGCAGATGGGAGGTAACTGATCCTGATTTACATTTAGGTAAATTGAGTAGGAAAGTTCGGTAAATGACTTGGAAAAGTTTAGACATTTATAGACGTAATTTTGTTTTTCTTATTCTATTTTGCCTTTTTGTTTGAATTACCAAAACAGAATAATGTTGAAACGTACATACCCCCTTTTTGGATTTACAGCAATTGCATACGGTTCTCCTGCCATGCTTGTAAGGAGTCTTGTACAGTTAGGTCCGTTCAATTGACCTACATTGATGGAGTATCTCAGACTTGTCCAATGAGTTGTATAGTAGCTGAACCAATGCATTCTGGAATGATCAGTCCAATAAATATTTCCAGCGACCCAGTCAACAGCAATGCCCCTAGGTCTTTTGAATTCTGGACACTAAAAGGAACAGATGTTAAAGTCAGATTTACGGAAATGATCTTTCACAGCAGCTGCAGAGTCACAGATTTATGTAACTTTTTACAGTTAAATAACTTTTACCTTCAGAATGGTGAAATATTTAAAAACACCGCATTGGAAAGTCATAAATTCCACCCGCAGGTGATAAGCTGTAAGAGATCTGCTGACAGTTCTATTCAATGTAGAAGAAAAAGGCACTTAGGCATGAACTACTTGAACTATTGATACTGAAGCCAATAAATGTTACATACTGTAATTGAAAATGAAAGGTAAAGGAAGAATTAAGATTATATAGCTATTATACTCCATGCAGAACTATGGTATGACATCCCATTCCAAAGCTCTCAGTGAAAATGGTGCCTGAGACCATCCTGAGGTATGGCTGCTCAGCAGTCTGCCAAGGATAAATAAAACCACTGCATTTAGAAAACTGCACAAAATTATCTCTGTATTCTGACCAATACAAGTATGCAATTGTAAGAAAATTTTCTAAATGTTTCTCTTCCCTTACTATTAACTGTTCCTGTGTTTCACCACCAATTAAAATCAGAATTAGTGCAATATTCAGCTTCTCATGTAAAAGAGGCTTGACTGATAACAACTTTAAAATTATAAACTGTAGTATTTTCTATCAGGATTTCACAGTTATCAAGGCTAGATCTGAAAAAATGGTCGTAGGATAGAAGTTCATATTGCAAATAGGAGATATATACTAACAAGTTTCTCTAAAGTTTACTAGAACTCATGCAGAGAAGAGTAATATCTGTAAAACAGAACTACCCAACTATTTCTAACATGAATGCAGCATATCATAAAAAATTCAAGACCTGCATGAGCTAAATACATATGCAATTGTTTGCCTGTTTACCTATAATGACATCAAGTTAAATTATGAGCAAAAAATGTCTATTCCTTGACAAACGCAGTACTGGAATGTCACTAAGCTATGTAACTAAACATCAGGAAAGAAAATCCTAAAATAACACGTTTTGCTCAGGTGTCAGAGTTCCCCAATACCACAGGCCATTTGTAGACTATTTTCATCATAAAATAAAGGTCATTTCATTCTCTAGGTGAAATAATAGGACTGCAAGGGTGAATTTAGATAGTTCATTGTTCATAAACTTTTAGTTCTGCAGAAACGTCTCAGAAAGCATGTTCTGTAGATATACAGAACCCTGACTTTCTATTTAGATAAGTATTAAAGCAGTAAATCAATCACTGCATTTACAAAACAGTATTTTTTTAAAAACAGAATCGCAGTCATTTTTTTAAAGTTAAACAAAATAATGTAGCCTAATTCTTTGTTATGAAATGATGACATTGGCAGCGTATGCTTCCAGAAATACCACAAAAATAAACTCTCTTCTTTGTTTTTTCCAACAAGAAATGTAGCATTTGCATGCAGCAACCTCTTTTTTTTTTTTTTTTTATTACATTATCTAAGCAACATTCATGTAAAGGAAAACATAATGAGAAATGTGGCTATTTGCAGGTAAGCGTCGTTGTATTTTTAATCCAAACTCTTTTTAATTCTGGGTAATATTTAGGTACCTGGGTCAAGAAGCCACTCACACCTGGACATATCCAGTTTCTACTGTGGAGACTGCAAGGGTTAATGGCACTGGCCCACAAGGCTGGACTCAAATATTCTTTTAAAAGGAGAGCAGCTATCATGGACAGCATAGTCCCTTGCTGTTCTTTGGACTGTTCAAGAGCCACTGTTTACAGTAAGACAGCTTTTTTTTGAACCTGGTAAGCATATGATGTGGCTTACCATGCAAAGAGAGAGACGGTTCCCAAAAAGCTGGTTGTAGAAGCAGGTGAGACAAAGGGATGTCCTAAAAAGATTCTGGAGTGAGGTTGGGTTGCTTACTAACACTGACCCTTTCTCATTCTTCTCAAATGTACAGGAGAAGTGAAATTCCAGTAATGCTGGGTGCATATTAAAGATCAAAGGAACGTGGAGATAATCAGAAGAAATGGAAAGCAGACATCTGGTGTAAGAGATTAAAAAAAAAGAGAACAAAAACCACTAGCTGATGCTATGGCTGTGTAATTCTCAGTTGTGTTCATTAAGTTTCAGCCTAGCTACATCGTGTTTCTGATGTCTTGCGCATCTTCTCGTAATGTCTAGTAAAATTACTTACTGTAAATGAGTTTTTACCTAATAGCTTATTTGGATTATGTTAATTTTGAAGCACAATTTTGCATGCAGAATAAGGATGAAAATACAGAAACAAAATCACATTAATATTTTCTACACTTATTTTAGTCCACTTTGATGCTAAATATAATGTACTACAACTTATTAGAAAAATTGGGGTTTGAAGCCTAATCGTCTTTCATAGTACGGTAGTCTCTGCACAACTACAGACCACGTCAGCTTGATGGCTTTTGATCAGAACTGCTGCCTATCATAAAACTGTTTTAAAAGTAAAGAATTAAAAAAAAAAAAAGCAGCAAGCTGCATAAATAGCTTAGATTTGGAAACCATTTTGATATAATAGTAGATTACAGAAAACGTTTCAACCCCTAAAGTTGAGTTTGACTGAAGAAAATATGTTACACATGCAGCAGGAACACACCACCTTGCAATGCTTAGCATTTTAACACAGGAAGACTGAAATACAAACCTAATTGATATCACAAGCACATGTGAAGCAATATTTTCTCTATTTACTTTACAGATGTTTTTGGTATGGCATTGCTGTGGAATAAAGTAAACCAATGATTTATTGCTGCTATAAATATCTTCATTAAAAATAGTACATTATCTAATGATATATTATTAGAATACTAAGAATAAATGAGAAAAAAATAACACCAGAAAACTTTTAGACTATTTAGAAAATATTCCTCAACAGATGAGCAGCCCAGTAGGTGCAATGGTTCACCAGACCACCATTTGTATTACATAAGCAGGATAATTTAAAAATTCCAACCAATCAATTCCAGAAAGAGAGAGTCTCCTAACATACGAACTTCCTTCATCCATACAGAGCTATAGCTTTAAGGTAAAACCATAAATTCATGCTATTTAGAGAAAACAGTCTAGAAATGGTTTCCCTTCACAGTGATGCACTGAATTTCACTGGGGCCTGGGGCAAATGTTGGGAATATATATGTGGATATATCACAAGAGTGATTAAGGGTCCTTGTTAAGATCTTAGAACAGTGGGGCTGGAGCAAACTGCCAATACACTGACTGGATACATTACAAAACCCATCTTTTTCTTCCTATTATATGGTACAAATATTTTAGTGTTCAGCTTTGTGTCCTCTTCCATGAAAAGTAGCACTTGAGTTTAAGCAGCAAGTCATTCTGTGTTGAATATTCACCTCAGATAACTTAGACATCTCTCTCCAAGGATTACACCAGTAAACAGCTGCACCAGTTATCACCAGTTCACTTATACTGCCTTAACTCAATTGGAATGCGATCCTCTTCTGCATCTGTCAATAAACTCTGAAGAGTTGATATTTACTATTTCCTTTAATGCTTCAATTTGTACCAAGCTTAAACCCCTTTTCACAGAAAAGTATGAGAGATACTTCAAGCTATTCTCTGAGGAAGGCTCTTGATATGCTAATTCCATGGAGCCATTTAAGTCGAGATGGATTTTTGCATTAATGTAATTACCTGAAAATGCAGGTGACTTTGTTCAAGTTTACTGTCTTGATTTACATATCAAAGTCTAGATAGAAAAGTTATAATATAACCTTTGAAAACTTATCCATTAAAAAACTTGTTTTAAAATTAAGGAATTCTCAAGCTTTTCAAAACTAAATTTAAGTGACAATGTTAAAACAACACTATAAAACCAATTAACTTACTGATCAGTTATGTATAAGGCCATAACATTTGATTATTAATGAGATAATGCTGGGCAAAATATTCTGAATATTTGAGTACGATTAGAAATAAATACTTCACAAATATAAATTAAACGTGTCCAAGATATGTTCAGATACAGTCTGGGCATTTTCCACATACAGATTTGTAAAAAAGCTTTTTTGTGTGGTTTCACCTTCACATGGACCTACCTGTGCTGAAGAGACATGGGAAAATGGTGTAGTACAAAGAAAAATATATTTTTTTCAATAATTTTGAATGAAAAGGAAGTGACTAGAAGGTATTCTTGGATAACAGTGAAACAAACACGAAAAGCAAAAGTATTTCTGTATTTCAGAAAAATAATAGTAATTCTAAGAACATTTAATCTTTATTAGTTTAAATAGGGAGACAATGTCAAATCAGCTATGAAATTCTCAACCCTTGGACTATGAAGAAGACTCAAGGAAGCATTGTTCTAATTTTTAAATGTTTATCATAGCTTTGCCAATATTATCATTTATATGGTCATTATAGAACTCAAGGTTGTCTTTGGTCTATCTACATTTTCTGTTTTCCAAGGATTTGAAATTCATGCCTTTCTTTAAACAATGTGTGGATTATATATGTCTATTATATCCTTTCTTAAAATAAAAAAATCTTGACAGTATACAATCTTTTCAAGCCTCTAACATACTGGTTATTTCTCTGTAGAAAACTTTTTTAAAACTATAAAACTAATACTATAGTTGTGTTTTCTTAGAGGCTTGACCAAGTCTGTCAGTCTTAAATGGAAAGGCATTAGTAGACATATACACTATTTGAATAAAATCATTCTCAGATAGACATTTTAATTTACTAAATCAGCACATGTTATTATAGACAATAATGTCTATAATCAGAACAGAAGAGTAAACGGGAAGAAATTTGTATCATGTAATCTTTCATTTCGATCACTTACTATCAAGCCACTGGTACTTTGTCTTCTCTCTCTGTCGTGAAGTTTTCTGTAGAAAATACCTCCAGGATTAAATTGAGTACTCCAAACAATCATGTCCCCTTGAAAATATGTATCCATTCCAGTTATCCTTGAATTATGCTCAATATGTGATATTTGCTGATGAACATCACTGTAGTTGAATGGATATGCAAAACCCAGGATGTCAGTGTCATTAGCAACATAGAGAACTTGATCTTCAGAGCCTAGGGATTATTACAATGAAACAAAAATAAGGTAAATGTCAACTAATGCAAAATCAGTGTTTTTCACTCCAGTAGCTTTTTGGTATTTATCTGATATAATTTCTCACGTTAAAATTGTTTTCTGATGTTGAAGACTGCAAAACCACTCACATTCTGGGCAATAAATGCAATTTTTCATACTCTTATAGCAATATATATTATTTAAATGCTTTCCAAGCTCACACTGTGACACCTAAAACTGTATTTTCAAGAGTATGCCATACAAGAATTTGAACACTTTAGCAGTATAAAAACCCCAGGTGATATTATGCATTAAGCCCATATGAACTGCCACTTATTTTTATATGCACGTTGTGTCTCGAGGGTCCTAAATGTATGTATTGAAGGAACACAAACTTGCCAATACACATTACTTGAAATTGCTTAATTGGAAATTAGAAATGGAATGATCCTATCTTTAGTGAAGGCAGTGATATTTTGCAATTGACTGCAACCCGAGCAAACCGGACCATAGCTGCTACAGAACGTGGGCAGTTGTGCCTTATATCTTCTCATTTCAGAGAGTTAACATTTATGGATACCTGGGAATGGGTGGTCTTTATGGATAAGTAGTTACCATCTTAATCCAGAGGTTGTAAAATATGCTATTCATAAGAAAATGCTCTCTGGTAGCTGCTCACTAAGTTTTGTGAAAGTTTCAAATTTGCTGGATACACTAGAGTGCATTTGCAATTTTTTTAGTTTTCCAATTTATGTCACATTTATCCATAGGGAATCAACTTATATCTGTCCAACAAATTTCCTCCTTATAAGTATGAAATATCAAAAATAATTTGTTCCCTCACTCCTGCTAAATACAAGAAGAAAGAGGAGTTCCATTAAAGCAAGTATCAATGACAGAAAGAGGGAAACATGAACTGTATTACAATGGAAATGAAGCCTGAGAATTATTCAGATGCAGGATAGTGATTCTTGGATTTTTAATTTATAAGCCCTCAGAACTGTGTCTGTGTTTCTATAGTAAAAAGCCACTACCCACCGTAACCTTGTTTGTTCTCATGTCATAATCTGAGTGCTTCTTCAATAAAAGGTAATGATGCTAGATCCTGAGAGAGTCCACGTTATTTATAGAGGAAATTACTAAAGACTCATTAATATGATTCTCCCCCATGGTGAGTTTGCTTCAAGAAAACGTGAACAAAGCACGTAAGAAACCTGACTACCACCACCTAGCTCCCCAGCATGGGTGTACCTACATTACTGACTGGTGCGACACAAAGAAGGAAACATTTCATACTCCATTTTGTGCAATACCTCTGCCTTATGAAAGACAGAAGTAACATCTACATGTGCGTATTTCTTTACCTTCCCTGGACCATGATCTAGGCAACTAATTTATATGAGTATATTCTTAGGTGACTATACTAAAAAAAACTTCACTTACATGAGTTATGTAAGATTTCTCAACATGACAAAGCAAAAACAGGCTAACCCCAAGTACTATTTAATTTATTCCTAAAGTTCTAAACCCTGTTTGTATGAAAGAGTTGATTCTTCTCTCAAGCTTCTAAAGCTTCACCAGAACGCTTCTATGCTTGCTAATATATAATCTCTGTTTTTCTTATTTGTACATATATTTGCAATAGAGAAAGCTGGAGCTGGAAATGGACTTTCATATTAAGTATGTTCTTTTACCTGGAAGTGATAAGAATTTACTGCTTAGTGAAATCAAAGGTAGTTCTGAGTGGCTTTGAGAGTTATTTCTGGGCACTATTCAAAAAATATTTTTCTAAAAATAAATTGTATATGCAACGCATTGGTGTTACCAACCATGTACATAACAAATGATTTAGTACTGTCAACGTATTTTGATTTTTATAGCCTTACCTTTTGCTATGCAGCTGTTATTCCTCTCCTTATAATTTTTCTCGCATGCACATTTGTATGACCCCTTAATATTATTGCAGTGCTGGGAGCAGACACCAAATACCATACACTCATTGATATCTATGAGGAAAAGAATTGTAATTTATATATCTGTAGTTTAATACACTATTATTTAAGACGTTCAGAACATCATGGAACAAAGCAGATGAACAAAAGGAACTCGTAAGCATTGGTGTATCTTGCAACAGTAAAAGGAAGCCTTCTGCGATTATCACTAATGTTACTTCCGCTGCAGTCAACATATCTCAAAAATATTTCAAGTTATTTCTCCATCCTTCTTATATCAACCTGTTATTATCAGAGCTCGCAATCAACTTTGAGAATGAAAATGTCTGTTTCAGTGACCTCCAACATATCTGTCTCTGTTACACTCAAAGCTACATGACCACGCCTTACTGGAAAACCCTCCATATATAAGGGCCAAACAATGACGTTTTTGTATGCAAGTATCGACTCACTTTGATACTCTCACTGAGGTGATCTCAACTCCTTCTGTAAGTTACTGCTCACCAGTGAGAAAACAAACTCACAACCCATTCTTTGAGTAGGCAGATTTATGTTACCTTTTTCATCAACACTTTGATGACAATAACTGTCTTTTTTTCTGATGAGTGTGGTATCATATATATTAAGACTACATTTTCTAAGATATTTTATTTTCAATCTGTTTATTTTCATTTCAATTTTCAGTTTTATGCATCTTCATTATTTTAAGCATCTCAAAATAATCTCATATAGCAATTTAAATGTGAATCCCAATTCTGAATTCAGTAATCTACTAGACCTTAAATCACTAATTTACCCCTTAAATTATAAAATCCTTTAATGGCCTGACCTGAACCTTTTGACATTCACAACCAATGTTAATCTTTGATAACCTCTCCAGCTAAAATGCATACATCTCTATTCTGTTAAGTCCTTTCAGTTTCTTTTCTTGATTTCTTAATCCCACAGCTATGAAACAGTTCTTACTCTGCAGAAAAACGTATGTGATGCGTGTCTCCTTCTCCAGTATAGAAAATTGACTATGCAGTTGACATTGAATACTTTACAGCAAGGCATGATGGAAAGGACCTGTACCTTCACATTGTCTATTCCTCTTGTTTCTCTGAAATCCAGGTTTACATTGACACAGCAGAGATGTTTTTGTTTGATTACAGTATGCATCATCTCCACAAGGATTCACATTATCTTCACATGTATATTCAGCTACACCTAAATATAAACAAAATGTCTAAAAAAAGCCCTGATAGGTTCCTTTAAAATGTTAAAAATGAGATCTAAAGTAAAAACAGCAAATAGCATGACAAATTTATCTTTCTGTTAAAAGACCATCAAAGTAAATTTTAAACAAATATATGACATAACTGTATTTACCTACATATGCATATAAATTGACACTATTTGATTGTGAAACTTCATTTCACATCAAGAACTTAATACTAAAATTTATCTTGCTGCAGATAAGAAACAAAATGCAATCAACATGTAGTTAAACTATTTCAAAAACTCAAGAACTACCCTAAAAACTACTACAATCTGAATTGCTATAAAATTTGCATTCCTCTTGTGGTATGTCAAATACAATCAACTCTTTTTTTAACTAAAAAAACCCCACTTTAATTAACTTCTGTGTTGTTGAGTAGGTTTTGCATGGATGAAAGTCTCGGTTAATTATTTCCTTTCTGCAGCAATCATGAAAACATATCTTGTCAGCCAAACTCACTTATTTTGCAGTCTTGCTCATCTGAACCATCTCCGCAGTCATCAAACCAATCGCACTGCAGCTCCATTGGAATACATTTCTTATCATTACAAGCAAACTCATCTTTTTTACACGGTCTTGCTTTATATGTGACTTTATCTATATAATTACAAATTAATAAGAGAGAAATAAATCAGTATTTAAGATTCTTAGATTATTTTAGACACATACAAATGGGAATGACCATGAAGCATTAAGCAACTGGAAATTACTTCAAGCTTAACGTCTTTCAATTTCAAATTCTGATCTACTAACCTCCAGTTAAGCTTTACTGAAGGACAAGCAGATCTCTGTTACAAAGTTTGCCTTCAAGTTGTTTTCTTTGATCTGAATGCCTTGAAACGTAATATCACCTACCACAGTGATCTTCATCCGAGTTATCACCACAGTCATCAACCTCATTGCAAATCTGCTCAGGTCGCAGACAAACCCTGTTGTTTCTACATCTGTACGGCCTTGTTGGAGGGCATGGAAACTTTACTGTGTGTTAAAAAAGAGAATCAGCTATTACCCAGCTAGTATTCTTGAACTTTCTTTAATGTCTCCCTATCAAAGGAATAAGCAGGCATGGGAACACAGTTGTAATTGACATATGAATGGCACTTGATTTTAACTTCTGGTACCTAATAGAATAACACTTGAACAATATTTACAGTATAAGTTTTTCACTTAGGGAATGAATTTATTTTGTGTAATAAGGGTAATTACACTTCTTTTTGAGAATCTGTAAACACAAGAGAAATAAACCAAAGGAAGTAGGAAATTTAATGATGATTGATAATGTAGAAGCAACATTTTCCCATTTGTGCATACAAAAAGATTAATTTCTCACAAATATCTTATCTGAAATTACACGAAGAGCAATAACCATACCACACATTTCCGCAACTTCATCAGAGTTATCTCCACAGTCATCCTCGCCATCACAAACCCAAAAATGTAGTTTGCAGAGGGAATTGTTGCACAAAAATTCATCAGCTCTACATATATTTCCCCCTGGGAGGATGAAAAGATGACAAAAAAAACCCAACAGGAAAACAGAAAGACAAAAGAAAGAACGTCAATTCTTGATAAAACCAGTACAGCCACTTATCACTTACTATCTGCAGAGAATGACACGCACAGCATAACGAAATTAACAAACCCCAAATGAAAGGGTTGGAAAGGCAGAGAGAAACACTCTTAAGCTCTTCTGTGACCATACACTTTTTGACTTTGTTTTCATGATTGTTAGCTAGGAATTACCTATTTGGCCTGACTAGAACAGGTAGTTATCAAAGAAAGACACTGAGAACTCACCAGCTAGGCATGTTCCCCTTGCATTTAGCCAGGAGATGCTCAAACTGCCTTTCTGTTTGTAACTTCCTTTGGTGATGCTGCCTTTCAGAAAAGACCTGGCTGGGTACATCGGTAATTTGTGCTATCAGAGAATGGTACAAATCAGAAGACAGAAACATGGTCAAGCCTGTGAAAGGCCATTTCAGTCCACGTTTGTTTCACATGAATGTCTGATTCTCCATCTTTTCCTACTCCCGCTCTTCGAGACACACATCATGTTCAGAAGAGAAAAAGTGATTGCAGTCCCTAAGCCAGGACGTAGCATTTTTCTTTTTTCTCTTGAGGAGTAATAGGCTCAGCCAGGCTTGTGACGTCCTCATCAACTATAAACTCTGTAATTAGGGAAGATCCAGCCATGTAGGCACAGAGTAGATAAGACCAGATGACCTCTAACAGTCTCTTCCTTTTTGTAACGCTGAAATTTCTCATTAGGATATTTACTGAGCACAGATGCAGCAAGAACAAATCCTTCCATATAACTTGAGTATTGATTGAACTCTGAATCATCTAACAAAATGGAACAGAAGGTGAAAGAAAATGTTTTAAGCTGGAGTGCTCAAGCTTTAAAAATTGGTTCAAGCTGGATTCAGCTTTAACGCATGTAGCAGTAAGAAGGCATTTTGTTTCCAAATTATGACTAAATTTTACCACTAGCAATCAACAAAGTTACAGAAACTTCTTGAAACTAGTTTTCTATATAGCACATTTTTATGGTAACTGGATTCTCAGTTTCCTGAGAGGATTAGAGTAGAAAAGAAAGCAAGCTGTGTACCTGCAGCAGAGGAAACAATGAAATTTTATATGATAACATCAAAACTCTCACTGTGGCTTACTTCAGTGCATTACACCCATCCTGATAGTGAGATCAGACTCCAGCGGCTTTTTACTTATTCAAGTCAGTGCCCTGTTCACACTCCATTAAAATCAACAGAAGGGATTCTTTTGCTATAAAGGGTTCAGAATGGTTTAATTTTTTCTTTCCAGAAAATTAATTTGCATGAAATACCCACTGTGTAAGAGGATGTTGGGAACTCTCACACTATGTTACCAAATATAATTCATTCCCATCGCAAATATAACTTATGAACATTAACAGAAATATTCTTTATTATCATCCAAGGAAAAATATATAGAATTCAAGTATTCTTCATGATGAATTCTTCACAATTGCATGTGTAATCACAATAAAACCATACTTCTAGTTGAATAATAAGATTGACTACAGCTATGTTTATAAATATGCACAGTGGGCTACAGATAAATATTACGGAGATTGTTTTAGAATGCTGTAGAATAAAACTCCTTGACTGTTTGCTGCATTTCCAAAGAGGAAAAAAATTAGTTATCAGTGAGATAAACTGGCATTTGCTTCATGTGATTGCTCTGCCTGTCATAATTCCTTTATAGAATAGATTTCTATAACAGAAATCATAATTGTGACATAAATAAAAAGTATTATAGCAATAACCAACTAGGCAAAAGGCTTCTTATTGCATTATAAGCAATTTGCAGTTCACAGAAGCTCCATTATACTATCCAAAGAATAATATGGGCTTCGGATAAAATAAGTGCGTGACTACTTACTTACACTTTGTTGGTTTTTAAAGAGATACAGCCCAGATATTTCAGAAGGGACTAGAAGTTTTTAAAAGCTTTGTTATCTCAGTAATCACACTTCATTCTTCAACACTTATATGATGTTTTTCTCTTTGCATCTAAACATCTCTGGAACATTCTTCCTGTTTTCTTCATTTTCTGGTCTCTCAAACTTAATCATTCCATGTAACTATTTTTCCTACTGATAAGTGTTGGTTAATGGACTTAAAACAAAATAAGGGAAGGATATTTCACTCTGCAGTTACTTGCTTCATCTCTGATTATTATTATTTATTATTGTACTTCATTACGCTTTTGAAGCTATGCATGTCGTGATTGTGGATAACTAATACACACAACTACTCACTTGAAAGAATAAAGAAAAATATGGAAAAAACAAAGCTGACAAAATGCTGAGTAAAATTTTGCTTTTAAAAAAATTCCTTTAATTTGAGTGAGAAGTTCTGTGTTTGCCACAATTACCGAGTTACTATGCTTGCTAAGATTCTTGTGCAGAGATACACTGTTACTGCCTGGTAGCTGAAGAAAGGATCAGTTAAAAAGAAAATAAATTAGAAATAAAGACTTTTTCATGGTCTTACCCTCAGAAGGAAAACTGTAGGGAACTTGCTTAATAACATTTAACTGCCTATATCTCTGTGTGTATATGTATACATAGACACATATGTAAATATCTATGAATACTCAATTAAAAAGATATATTTGAACAAGATTTGTGAATTTGCAGCAACTATGAGAATTAGACCAAGAGATGTATTTCTCAAAGACGTATTTGGAAGTTTAATCACAAACATCAAAGTCTGAGTATAGTGCTTAGCTTCATGTGAATCAACTTATGTGCACAGTTCTGCTCTCTAAGGAGAGTCAGAATACAAAATGTGATTTCATGGGTTCTGGTTAGTTGCAACATTTTATCTCCAAGGAAATAAATAGAAAACTAAGGTCTTAAGATTACTTATTTAGCAATTTTTCATTATATTGCATGACGTTGTAATTTATTGTTGCCTCTAAAACTGTAAATTAACTGGACTTATTACTGATTTCTCTGATGAGACAAAATATGCTTCCAGTAATAACACAATCTTTTGGTCCTTGGTGAAGGAAATGCAAAGAAGAAACAATGAGCCGTGAGTCATAAACAATGTAAGTTTTGCTTCATCCTGTCAATCGCTTGTGAAGCTGCTATAGTGATAGGACAAGGGGCAATGGCTTTAAATTGAAAGAGGGAAGATTTAGATTAGATCTAAGGAAGAAATTTTTTACTCAGAGGGTGGTTGGTGAGACAGTGGAACAAGTTGCCCAGAGAAGATGCAGATGCCCCATCCCTAGAAGTGTTCAAGGCCAGGTTGGATGAGGCTTTGGGCAACCTGGTGTAGTGGAGGGTTTCCCTGCCCATGGCAGGGGGGGTTGGAACTGGATGATCTTTGAGGTCCCTTCCAACCAAAAATCATTCTATGATTCTATGATTCTTTCCCACCCTGTGCCAGACAGAACGTTAGCACTTTCTATACTGTCTTGTCAAAAGAGGTCACAGAGCTTTCATCTCATTGCTCAGAATGGTCGATATACCACTAACTTACAATGTGTGTTAATATAAAAACCAATAAAGCAAGCCTTTAAAAGAAGAGTGTCTCTTGCCTTGGTCACAGTTTTCTTCGTCACTGCCATCCACACAGTCATGGATCCCATCACAAAGCCATCTGACAGGGATACAGTAGGCCTTATTTTTGCATCGAAACTGATCTTCTTTGCATTCTGTTACACAATCCATCTGTGTGAATACAGATATGAACTAACCACGACTGAATTACAACAATACACTTACGACAAACCCAACAAATTTCACCTACACTGTTTTTCATTGCCCTAAGTATAACACAATAAAGTTGACCCTGACAATGGAATGTGCAATTTCAGTAGCTACTGAAGTCCAAGTGAAACTGTAAGCACGTTATATATGTTCTGATATTACTTCCTTATGTTGCTTAGTATTAGCAATTGAAAAAATGGCTACACTCATGTTTCTAAAGTCAACTGCCTGACAAGCAACAACCCTGGACATGAGGCCAGTTAGAGCAAACTGGCTTAGATCCACATTGATCAGGACTAGAAACCTCCAGAATGGATTGTCTTCACATGCACCATGTAGCATTTGGTTCACAGGCATCCTTCTTACTCTGACACCTTTATGGCTCTGAGAAATAACAAGTATTTTTCATCTTTTTTCTTGAAGTTGTTCACCCAGGTGTTAATTTTTTAAAAAGACACAAAAAGTGCAACACGTAGGAAGAACATGGTGTGAAGGCCCATGGAGGCTGAAGTGCCTGCTAGGATTAATTTAGCTTAATCTAGAGGACAGAGGGAGCCAAATGTGACACAAGCTTGTCCACACTGACAGTATGGAGCAGTCCCTGAAGCAAACTCCCTCAGAACCAGGCTTAGGTTTTGACTTAGGGGAAATAAATTTGTCTACTCCAAAAGGTGGCCACAGAGCAAACACACACAATGCAGTGTAACTACCAGGGAACCAAAATCATGGGGCTAAGTTATCTGACAGTGTTCATTGGATGCAAAAAGCAGCCCATTTGGCCCTTTAAATTATTTTCAAATCTAACCAATTAACAATTACATGTCAGACAGTAGGGAAAAATAAGAATCAACAGAAATTCGTCCGCTACCTCATCAGATCCATCAGCACAGTCATACTCTCCATTACATTTCAAAGATGCCGAAATACAGCCTCCACTTGCACACACGTACTCACTTGAAGAGCAGGTTGGAGATGCTGGTTGCAAACACATATTTTAGCATTAAGAAAAAGACAATTTATAAATAAGTAGCTTTATAATTTAATGTTTTCATCTGGTTAACATAGTGAGCACACATGTATTCGTAGTTGATCAGAGTTTTTCCAAACAGTCGTAAACTGCGATGAAATATTTGACAAAACCAAATCGTCAAATCTTAAGTAAATGGTATAAAGATAGTGAAAGGATATTTGGTTTTTGTCACTGAGAAATTTCTTTTTGTATTTTCCTTATGCTTGGTAACAATGGTAATTACATACATACCCGTATTCAAATATTAAAAAAATGCATTCTTTAAAATGAGCTTTGGGTTTAGCTAACGTTATGTAAGTATAATCAAACAAACTTAATTTATAAGAAACCATGGTTTTAGACAGTGCACATTACTACAATTAAAATAAAAATATATTAACCAGTTTTGTTTAAAATATAGGTGAATATTTTTGTCACATTGTAAATCAAGGGAGCTTTGTCATAGGCTTATATCAGTTGCACTGATCTAGATGAAGCTTACAAAACATTTAGGGAAATTCCTGCAAAAATAAACAACTGCATTTCCAATACAGTAATAAGGAAATAAAACAATAACAACAAAAACAATAATTTTCAAAAGAAAACCTTCGCATAAGGACTAGTAAAATTTGAATGGACACTATAAAGCAAAAAATACCCAAAATACTTTAGCAACATACAAAGAATTACTGCTCTTTTAAGAGAATTTTATTAGCTGTGTATATATTATCAAATTATAATTAAAAATCATTAAATTAAGTACGATTCCCCCCAAGAAGCTTCATATTGCACAGCTGTACATAAGTGGGTTTTTCGAAACAAGAGTCGAAGACACAATGATGCACATTCAAAAGATAAAGTGTTTCAGATTTCTTCGCACTCCTCCCTACTTCTAGTGCACAGGGAATCTTGATTTGCTGGTTTATTTTCTCCTTGTTTTATTCTGAGTTATTCCCTGCTTCATTTCATTTCTCAGCATTATTTGAAACAATACCTGGTTCACAGCTTTTCTCGTCTTCGCCAAGTTTGCAGTCTTCATGACCATCGCATTTCCATCTCGCTGATATACACTGACCGTTGGAACACTGGAACTGATCTCTCGAACAGCCTGTTTCGCAATACCTCTGGTACGATAAAAACAACGTATACATGAGATGAAGGGTTTGATACAAACCTTGGTAAATACGCAGTTGAACAGAGAAGCTGCAGCCTATCCTCCTCCACATTATGAAACACAGTAATGCCTTATGAAATGTATTTGTAGGTATGATCCATGAAAGGTGGATAACACCCTCTAAGTAGGTAGGAAGCACCTGAGGTCCAGCAGGAAAGGAGAAGTAATAAAACGGACAGGAAAGACCAAAAAGACAGCAAAGCATTATCCAGTGAGCTTCTGCTACACAACAGTCTACACTTTTTTTCTCAAAAAACCCCACAAACCAGATCACCACTGTGTGCAGAAAAAGTGGTTCCTCAACCAGGACACAAAATACATCCAGGAATGGGAAGAGGTCCAGATCATTTCTGGGCCAAAAAGATGTAGACTATTGTTAAATATAACTTGATTTTACTTTTCTTTTACGTTTTCTCTTTTTATGATAAGTAATTCAATGCATTTAGTTTTAATTTAATAAAGACATATGCATATACAGATTTACGTGCAGAATTCCCACTTTTTAATTTACTCGTATGTGGGAATCCATTCTCCAACAATACAAAACTACCAATTTTCTAAAGAAATATTTTTTCCTGGAAGAAGCCTACCTCATCTGAGCCATCTGCACAGTCATAGTCTCCATCACACCAGAATCTTGCCGAAACACAGTCTCCATTTGCACAAAGGAAGTCTTTCAAAGTGCATGTTTGAGGCTCTGAATGAAGAAAAGTAACAACCCTAGTTTTATTAGCATTTCCATAAAATATTTTATACGTAGAAAACCCCAATCAATGAATGACTATAACAAAGTCAATTCCACTAACTTGCAAACTACAAGGAATATTTTGTTCTGTAAGATTTTGTTTCATAACATTTTATAACTAAATTTCATTTACATATAGTAAGATAGTAATGAAAATGCTTTCATTTCAGTTCTACCAAATTTATTTGGAAAATTATTTGATACTGACTACAGAAACATTCTTTATTTCAATGCATGTATTTTATTACAGGTTTTGTGAGATATATACCACAGACTAGAAATTCATTTTGCAGCTCTTAATAAGCCAATGTAATTGCAACTAACCAGATCATTGATTTTCAATCACACCATAGCATTTATGACCTACCTTTTCACACACACACATGTGTGTGTGTGTATATGTGTGTGCGTGTGTGTGTGCGTCAAGAGTCAGCTTCCCCTGTGCTAAGCATTCAGGGAAACGGTCTTGAGATCGTAATTGGAATGCCCAAGAGGTAAGATTTGGAGTTTCAAGTAAAATAATACAGTTTCTCAAGAATTATGTATGGGAGGAAGCATGACAATAACCCACTGATTTGAATACTGACAAAATTGTTAAAGAGATTTAACAGAATGAGAACACAGTGAGTTGCAAAAGTCAATAGACAGTATACTTTCATAAAAAAACACTACTGTCAGTTTGTTAAAAAACATAGAAAAGAAAAAAGGTAAGGATTAGGATGGAATTTTCAAGTAATTTTAGGAAAACAAATGGGAGATGCTAGATAAGAAGAATCTAAGGAGTTTACAGATAGAAAGGAGACAGTAAAGGTTGGAAGATGAGTGGGATATTTTGTGATAAATGGATATGTTGTTCTACTCTCTGGGGGGAAACAAAACACAGGGAGGTCTGGAGTTATCAAAGGTGGACACAATAAAAGGGGAAGAGTAGGCACAAAATGAATTCAAGGTACAGGCAAAGTAAACAGAAGCAGCATGCTGCAGGGAGTGATGGAGTAATCCTGAGAAGCTGAGATTGGTTGTTTCAGCCTATTTACTTCACTGTCTGCCCAGTTCTGTGTTTTCGCTACTGCTGCCACAAAAACACCGGCAAGGGGACCAGTGTGGAAGATTTCCCCAGCAGAACACTATGCACTTTTCTCCTGAAAATGAGCACCATCACAAAAGACACTGGGGAAAAATGCAGTTCATGTCTGGACTTTGGACCGTTAGGTTAAACAACAGTAGAGAAGTTGTGGGGATTGAGCAGAATTTAAGCAAGTCTCTACACGTATTTTAGACTTTGCCAGTCAGACAGCTTTGGGAAAGCAGGACTGAAAAAGTAAACAAGGATTATTTGTGGGATTATTTTGATCACAGTCAACACTGCATTATGTAAATAATGTAAAATCAAGAATAAGGATTAATTAGTAAGACCTTTTCAACAGAGAGATGGGAAAAGAGTTCAGGCAAATGGTAAATGACAGTGGCTAAATCAATGGAGGAAGGGGAAAAAAGAAAGATGAGAGACAGAGCAGAGAGTAGCAATGGACAGTAATGGACTGGGCAATGCTAAATTTAGGGTCCTTTAGCTAGTTATGGAAGATGGAAGCATGAATGCTTTAGAAAAACATATCATAGTGATCAAGGAAAGCAAACACAAAATTAGAGACTTCAACTGAGAAGAATTTGGTAAATACCAGCATCAGAATGTACTAGACATGAGTTGCATAGATCTAAGGTAAAGTTGAACTCAGTTTTTTTTTTTGATTTATGAAAATCAAAAACCTCTTTCAAAAAACCAATAATTTTAATGAACTTTTCAGCTTTTTTTTCCCCCACTTCATTAAAAAAGTTAAAATGACCCTGTTTGAAAGCTTTTAAGAGAAATTTCATTTTTCAGGTAGGCATAACTTTTCATTTTGAAGTTGTAGGAAAGTCATAATAAAGCAGATCTACAGCAATTGCATCAGTTCTCCAGCAATGTAATATTTAAGCAAATCAAAGGTTAGCATTTATATAGATTCTTACATTATACACATACTACTTTGAATCTTTTTCAAAGTAAAAGCTTATTGTATAAACGTTAGCAAATCACCGACATTTGATTCTTTTTGTTGTCAACAGGCCACAAAAAGGAAGTTCACAATATGATAAATAATGTAAAGGAAAAAATTTGTGGAAAAAGTAATTCACATGCAAATAAACATTTGTCACGTTTCTATATTGATTGTCAAAATACAAGCAAATACATTTTCTATACTGCTAATGAATTATTTATAAACAGAGATTTGATTCTGAAAAAAATGTACACAATGAGCTAACTTCTCAATTCTCTGTTTGCAAGAAATATTTCTGCTGCTGCTGGAATACATCTCTGTGATTTACATATGAACACAGAAGAGTACCTTCCCATCAGTGCTTAGCCTGTTAGTGAAAGGAATAAGTATAAATAGACTTCTGCATAACCAATGAAGGACAGCATCTTTCAGCTTCTGCTTCATAAAAGCACTGAAAGTCCTTCTTGAGAACAGCATTTTCGAATTATTAGAATTTTATTTGAAACACAGCACATAAGATGATCTACTTCTTTCACATTTTAAAGTCTGAAAATAATCTGTAGAGCCAACAGACATTTGTCATTAACTTCAACGGCAGCAAGAAACGGATCTCATGAGAAATATTTAAAATTATTTCATGTTTAGGGTTCAATTTTGCATTTAATAGACATTGATATTGCACTATGTCATGAATTGAAAGGATTTTTTTTAGGAGATGATGTACTGATACACAAGTCAGAGGGAAAAAAGATAACTGTTTTTCTTAAAATAGGATATGAAGTTCAAACTTATAGTGTCCTTTTTATATGTTTGCTCTGTGTGAGAATTCTATGTTTTGTAACAAGTGTTACAAATCCAACATTTAGCGATACTAATTCATATATTATAAAAGGTGGAACTTGTACACAGAAAAACAAACGACAGCAATACAAACATGGGATGAGATTCAATCAAAATGAATTAGAAGCATATATTGACCTCTTGATTAATCCTACATTTGGCAGTAAATCACAAGCTTTTGAGGAATTTCTTGTGATGAATGAGCATTCATCAGATCTATTACTACATGGTTGTGTTGGAGTTGAAATCTTTCAATAAGCCAAACCAGAGTATCCAGCATGATGCATTAAAATAACATCAGTGAAACAGTATGACCATGATGTTGTGAGCGAACCCCAGAGGGCAGTTAAGCCACACACAGCCACTCAGGGGGTAGAAGTTCTGCAACTTGTGGGTTGAGATAAAGACAGTTTAACAGGTAAAGCAAAAGCTGTGTGCACAAGCAAAGCAAAATAGCACTTCATTCACTACTTCCCATCGGCAGGCTGGTGTTCAGCTGCTTCCAGGAAAGCAGGGAGTCACCACGTGTAACAGTCTTGGGTAGACAAATGCCATAACTGTGAAAATCCCCCCTTCCTCCTCCCTTTCTCCAGCTGTTTATTGCTGCGCATGATGTCATATGTTATGGGACATCCCTTTGGCCAGTTGGAGTTAGCTGTCTCAGCTGTGTTCCCCTCCCAGCTTCTTGAGATCCCCAGTCCACTCGCTGGTGGGGCAGCATGAGAAACAGAAAAGGCCTTGGTGCTGCGCAAGCACTGTTCAGCAATAACTAAAACATCAGTGTGTCACCAGCGCTGGTTTTGGTCACAAATCCAAAACACAGCACCACAGGAGCTACTAGGAGGAAAACTGTATCTATTCCAGTCAAAAACAGTACATAGAATGGAACAGGAAAAAAAAAAAAAAAAAAAAAACAACCAAAAACCACACCAAAACCAAAAACACCCTTCCTTATAATTCTGCTATAGTTACCATGCTGCTAAAAACAGTAACATGGACCATCCTGCAGAATGAATGCCTGTAAACATGAGATAATTACAGTGGTCCTAAGTGGTTTTTTTCATATATTTAACGTGGCATTAACTGTAGATTTTCTTCACTTACTTATTTTTGATAACTTTATTTAGAATTGTATTTCACCAAAACAAAGACGACACTTGTTCTTTGTTAATCTGGGCACAAGACTGGTGGCTGTATATAAAAGAAGAAACCCTTTGCACACATCATACTGAATTTATCATACTGAAGTAGCACGCTTGCCTTTGGCTAGCATTAACACCTAGCTGCTTTTAGCAAACTGACACTAACCATTGTCCGACTTGCACCAAATCAGCTGAGACTTAAGCAATGTAAAAAATGTCAATTTACACCACTGTCCCCTCAAAAGTTACTCAAGATGACATTATGAGACATTCCAGCTTCGTTGCTTTCAATATGATAATTTAAAATGTTTTCACTTAAACATTAAATAATTATGAGTTCTCATTGCATTTGGGATACAAACTTAGCCCAGGACAAAACTAACTAATTTGATTCCTTGACAACTTTTAGAAGCAGAAAAACAGCATTGAGAAGATTCTCTAGCAAAAGCAATATTTTTACACTGACTGAATTTACGTCTTTCTGCAGCATTATTACATTTGCTTTGTTTCAATGTTTACTGTCTGTTGTATTTTCTTTAATTATGTTCAATAAAGCATTACTGGTGCCTTCTATTCGGCAGGAATAAGATAGTCATTACTATGGAATTTTCCTTTTTAGGAAAGGAAAAAATTCTCTGAAAGAGAAAATGCTATTTTTGCTCTCATTTGTTTTTAAAAATCCAAATAAACTCTGAAAGCAAATCCCTCCTCCAAAAAGATATTAACTCAGAAGAGTTAAAAATGCTTTCTACTTTGCTTAGTGCTAACTCAGTACGGACCTAGAACATTCCTAATAACTCTTACTGGAGAGGGTCCAAACATAGTTAAAGAACCGTAGACTGTAAGATAAACACAGTTAAATAACAAAGTCATAATGGACACAACTATTTGCATTATACCACTAACAATTTTCCGCATCCATATGTGATGTTTTTTAATACGTGTTCTGTTTCACTTCTGATAACTTCACCAGGATGCTCTGTGTGCACGCGAGGAAACTCTATAGAGAAACGTAAATACTTGAGTTGAATTTCTATAATGCCATGAATTCACTCTGCATTCTTGAGAAACAACTCATTTTCTGATATAACAGGGTCTGACGAGTCCTTTGTATATTCAGGTATGCTACAAACAACTTATCATAATGTGCAATGCAGTACATTTTGTCAAATGCTTTTGAAGATCTAATTTCATATATATTTCATTACCCTTTATTCTATAAGTGGCTTGAGAGCCTATAAAGAATTTTATACATCTATTTCAAATAATTGAACTGTATTATCTATTTCCCACTGCTTCCAAGATTTGGAATTTTATAGCTGTGTCAGCCTACTGAATTTAATTTAATCAGCAGCGTATGGGTTCAACAGTTAGAAGTGAAGTGTACATTTGACAAGCAAAAGAAAAATGAAAAAAGCTGAAGAACTACAGTTCCCCACTCCGGCCTTTAGTCTGATGCACCAGCTTCATTTGGGTACTCTCAGCTCACTAATTCCACCCATTACAATTAACTACAGATTTCTTTATCTGTAAGGCTAGAGAACAGCATATATAACTTAATTATTCATGTGTACACAAACATGGGAAGCTTAATAAATATTTAAGAACACTCCCCAAAAAAACGATAGATTGCTCCCTTATTATTTGAACTTTCTTTTTTTTAAAATCATTTTGTAATATGATAATGTAAACTTTAAGGAAGAAAATTTTATGTATGTGTGTACATATATATATACACACACACACACTGGGTGATAAATAAATCCCAGTCCATACATGGCAAATTTCAAATGAGATGCTTGACACATATTTTGCAAACAGCAATGATGTTTTGTGGAAGTTTTCTTTTTTTTTTTTTAAATTTCAACTTTTTAAAAGGTTATCTAGTTATGTATATTAACACTACTACAGCAAAACTATGTCTTTATCTGATTTTTACATGAGAATAAAAGAACATAAAACAATTTCTTGGAATTTATAATATAAATGAAAATGGAAAAATCCCACTGGCACTAATCAGCAATGCCTAAGTAAAACCTCCCACAAAGTTAAGTAAGCTTTTATGCATCAACCCCCTCACCTGGGGTATAACAATAAATGGCTCAGCGATTACTGAGCCACAGGACATTTTCCTCTTTAGATGAAACACTTGCTCATGAAAACCACAGCGCTATTGCTTGCAGTAACTCACAACATTTTCAAATGTAGATAGTAATTAAAAGGCAAACAAATCCACTTTAACCTTCCAAGCAGAATGAGCTAGCCTTCAGACATCCTGTACCTACGGACACCACGTCTTCGAGAAAGAGGGAGACAGCACGTCCTCAGCATTAGAATGCCTAAATTAAGCTTTCTAGGTTCTTAACTTGAAGATACTCAATATGTATTTGTGATATACAATCAGGAACATGCATAAAAGATTATCTACACAACAAGATATTGAATTTCTAAGTACAAAAGAACAGAAATTGTCAACTGAAGAGAAGGCACTTCAGTATATTTGTGGAATTTCCCTCTCAAAATATTTTATGAATACAATGATTATGAGATAAAACCATTAAGAATTTGTCATTTCTTCCTGAAAGCCAGATCTAAATTAACTAATCAATACTGGTATGACAGAGATTTATTAGGCATTCAGGTTCCTCATAGGTAGGGGAGAATTAGGCTAACTGAGCTACTTTGAATAACAACATCTACTTTATGTGATTATTACAGAAATGGACTTCTCACAACACAAGGCAAATAATCTCAGAAATATAATGAATGTAATGGGAAGGTAATCCTTTATTTGATGACCAGTTTTTATCATCCTTATCTAGAGAGAAGAAATACGATATGTAACTTTTTGAAAAACAAACTAATTGCAGTATTTATTTTGATTTATTTCATCAGATTATTGAAAAGTTATAGCTCAGGTATTTTTGCATAGTTGATATAGAATTAAAGGTTTTTATAAGAATGAAAAAAAATTGGAGAATTTCAGCAAGGGACATTTTCAATTCTGGTGATTTTCAATGGATCAGATGGTGTTGTATAAAAAACATACACAAGCAGTTATCAATATGGAAGTTTCCTCTTACATGTTGCTAAACTGACTCCACTCCTTCTAAAATGTACTTGAGTAAAAGTTACTTACTACAGTTTTCTTCATCAGAATTATCACCACAATCATTTTGGCTGTCACATCTCCAATGATCTGGAATACAGTTGTTGTTTTTGCACTGGAATTCATGAGGCCCACAAGTTTTTTTATCTGTAATTAAGATGAAAATCATTTACATCATTGCAAAGAATCAAAACAGGGAAGACTGCTACTAAACAGTGACATGACAATATTCCTAGATACATTTAAGAAGAACCAACCATAATACTTGAAATGTTACTTTCAGAAATAATTTATTTCTCATACGTTGTTTTTGCACTGGAATTCATGAGGCCCACAAGTTTTTTTATCTGTAATTAAGATGAAAATCATTTACATCATTGCAAAGAATCAAAACAGGGAAGACTGCTACTAAACAGTGACATGACAATATTCCTAGATACATTTAAGAAGAACCAACCATAATACTTGAAATGTTACTTTCAGAAATAATTTATTTCTCATACCACATTCTTTAAGATCCTACTTATTCATTCATACCGAAAGAGATATGTTCATAAATTTGATGATAAAACTGAAATATGGACTGCATATACTGACATTTAAAGTAAAAAACTAGGAAATCCAGAAGTGATCACAAATGAGTTTGAAGAGAGGATATTATTGCACTGAATCTCAAAAACTGCGTTGACTTTACCTTGAATTTCTCTGTAAGACTGCTTTACAAAAGCTCAGATCACAGTGAACCACAAGAAAATTTATTTGAAAATTTACAAAATATATATTACTCAAAAGTTACATTTGCATATAATAATTTAAGACTAATCATATCTGACAGAAAACTTTGCATTTTGGTTTAAAAATTTTCGCGTTCTTGGATTGAAGTCGACTTATACAAAGTAAAACATTATAAAGCATATAATGCTAAACTGAGGTTGAATTTCTCCATGCATTAAATTTTCAATGAGCTTTACAGAGTAGCACTGTAAACAAAGGCTCTTGAAGAGTGTCCCACGGCATCCTCACAGCTAAACTGAGGAAGTGGGGTCTGGATGATCGGATAGTGAGGTGGATTGCGAACTGGCTGAAGGATAGAAGCCAGAGAGTAGTGGTCAATGGGACAGAGTCCAGTTGGAGGCCTGTATCCAGTGGAGTCCCTCAAGGGTCAGTACTGGGATCAGTATTGTTCAACATATTTATCCGTGACTTGGATGAGGGAATAGAGTGCATGGTCAGCAAGTTTGCTGATGACACTAAACTGGGAGGAGTGGCTGACACACCTGAGGGCTGTGCTGCCATTCAGAGAGACCTGGACAGGCTGAAGAGTTGGGTGGGGGGAAATTTAATGAAATACAACAAGGGCAAGTGTAGAGTCTTGCATTTGGGTAAGAACAACCCCATGTACCAGTACAAGTTGAGGACTGAACTGTTGGGGAGCAGCACAGGGGAAAGGGACCTGGGGGTCCTGGTGGACAGTAGGATGACCATGAGCCAGCAATGTGCCCTTGTGGCCAAGAAGGCCAATGGCATCCTGGGCTGTATTAGAAAGTGTGTGGTTAGTAGGTCAAGAGAGTTCTCCTCCCCCTCTACTCTGCCCTGGTGAGGCCACATCTGGAATAGTGTGTCCAGTTCTGGGCCCCTCAGTTCAAGAAGGACAAGGAACTGCTTGAGAGGGTCCAGTGCAGGGCCACAAAGATGATTAAGGGAGTGAAGCATCTCCCTTCTGAGGAAAGGCTGAAGGAGCTGGGTCTCTTTAGCTTGGAGAAGAAGAGGTTGAGGGGAGACCTCATTAATGTTTATAAATATGTAAAGGGTGACTGTCATGGGGATGGAGCCAGGCTCTTCTCAGTGGCATCCAATGATAGGACAAGGGGAAATGGATATAAGCTGGAACACAGGAGGTTCTGCTTAAACATGAGGAAGAACTTCTTCCCAGTAAGGGTAACAGAACACTGGAACAGACTGCCCAGAGAGGTTGTGGAGTCTCCTTCTCTGGAGATGTTCCAAACCCGCCTGGACGTGTTCTTGTGTGATCTGATCTAGGTGGTCCTGCTCAGGCAGGGGGATTGGACTAGATGATCCTTTGAGATCCCTTCCAATCCCTGACATTCTGTGATTCTGTGAGATGCATGAACATCCTGAACTCCTACAGCAGGAAGGAGCTGCCTGTGGTTTTTCACGTTTGTTTTTTTTTTTCCTTGAGTAATTTTTTTCAGATTCTAATGACTGAGACGAAATGAAGTAAATTAAAGTTACCAGTGACATTCTCTTTGGGGGAAAAAAAAAGTTTGCCTTGTAAAAGCTTCAATGACATATTTAAAATTACATGTCACCGTGATGATACTTCAACAGAAATTTTTTAAATTTCCATTAGGCTATTTCATAGCATGTCAGTTCAGGCTTCCTACTGCTATCACGACAGATCAATGAGTTCTAGTAACTGACAGAATGAAGGACGACTGAAACACTAGTCGAAATCAACTTACTTTCTCTGCCTGTGAAATGGAAAGGGTCAGAAATTAGAGTTATTAGATTTGATTCTATGACCCAAACTGCTGTTTTTTTCCTTTGTTTTAAGTGTGGTTCTGGAACTAGAGAGATAAATCAAAGTTACATTTGAATATCAAGAAGGTGGATGAAAATGGTGTTGCAGCTCAGTTGTGCACACTCAAAAACTGGGTAATTGCAATACTGCCTTTTGCATTTCTTCCTTATTCTCTTTCAGTCTCGTGATTCTAAGTAGTTTTCTCCCACAATACTTTTTCCTATAGTGTTTCTCAAGATGAGCACCTGTGACATTTCAATCATGACATTTCACATATTTGCATTGGCAAGCACTTAAAAAATATTTAACATCACAAAACATAAAAATACACCCCCACAAAACCAAGACACACTTGTATTTTGTTTCCGTAGTTCTGCAAAAGATGTTTCAAACCAGAAATCCACCCTATATTTATTTAAATACTTCTAGTAAAGTCTACAATCTCCCATTAACATATCTGCCCACAAAATGAGTCCTTTTTCTTCTCAGAAATTTGCTGACTGCCTGAGGTAGCTGCTGGTTGATTTGGGTTCATCTTTTGTGCATACTGAACTAGGATTTTATTTTAGAAATAATTCTAAATGAGCATGAAGAAAATAAGATGAAAGCTTAAACGGAAAATAAAACAAACCAACACCAAAATATTACATAGCCACCTTGATAGCATTCTGATTCAAATATCAATCCCTATTAAGTAAAATAGTATTTTGCTACTAATTGCACTACTCTGCCGTTCAGGGATTTTAACTCCATATGTGTGTGCATTTGTGCACACGTGTGCCTGAGAGGGATAAATCCCAAATGAAAAGAAACTCGCTTTTGATTGAGGATCAACTAGTTGTTGTAGGAATTGGTGGGCTGCTGGACACAGGAAATTCTAAGCCTGCTGAAGGAAGTTTAAGCTTACATAATGCATCCTTCAAATGTCTCAAAGAACATATTCTTCATCATCAGACAAAAAACTACTTGACTTTAGGTTAAAAATAAAATTAATATTACAAAAGTGAGGAAGCAGAAAGCAGCCATACTCATGTTGACACTTTATGCTAATAAAGACCTGAAACACATACAGCCTTTAAAGCAAACTATACAAATTTTCCAAGACCACACACAGCTTTATGCAGATTCTAACTCAAATAGCATCTTTTCTGATGTAAAGCATTAAAGTCATGAGCAAGGATTACCATAATCTAATGGCTTCTTTTAATTGCCTGGACAGAAAGCAGGCATTAACTCTATCTATTGTTCTTTGAAAAACGCCATACCCTCATTAATCATAGAAACATAGAATGGTTTGGGTTGGAAGAGACCTCAAAGATCATCTAGTTCCAACCTCCTGCCATGGGCAGGGAAACCCTCCATTACACCAGGTTGCTCAAGGCCCCATCCAACCTGGCCTTGAACACTTCCAGGGATGGGGCATCCACAACTTCTCTGGGCAACTTGTTGCAGCGTTTCACCACCCTCGATGTAAAAAATTTCTTCCTTACATCTAATCTAAATCAATCCTCTTCCAGTTTAAAGCCATTGCCCCTTGTTCCATTTCTACGCACCCTTGTAAAAAGTCCCTCCCCAGCTTTCCTGTAGCCCCTTTAAGTTCTGGAAGGCTGCAATAAGATCACCCCGGAGCCTTCTCTTCTCCAGGCTGAACAACCCCAACTCTCAGTCTGTCTTCATAGGAAAGGTGCTCCAGCCCTTGGATCATCTTTGCGGCCCTCCTCTGGAGAGCCTACATACATTTGCTAATTCTACCTCATTTGTCTGAGTCAGAAAGTAACCACAGAAGACTAATTACATTCAGACTACTTCTAACAAATTTACTCAATGTAGTATCCCCAATAACACAGCAACAGGTGTTGACTAAACAAAACAGATCTGACTATGCAGCACTAAAGCCAAACAGAGATTACCTTTTATACCAGTTTTGCATTGTAAGCATTTTAGAAATGAACTATAAATGAAAACACGTTAGTATTGGCATCAACATATGTAGATCTCTATTATACTCCACTTGCAGCTTCAGAATTTAATTCTATCAAACTTTATTCATAAAAATAATCACCTTTACATTTAAAAAGAAAAACACCAAAATGCAGACGACTAAATTGTGTTAAAACTACTGCTATAATAAGGTCATTTAAACATATTTCAAATGCTAAAATTATGGAAAACTTGAAAATGTGATTAAACTCACCCTGTTCTTGTCAAGACTTAGTTGTTCTATGTGCACATAACTGTGTGTGGCATAGAGTTTTTGAATACAGATAAATTGTTCTGTCTCCTCCAACATAAAAATTAAGAGCATTATATGCAGCTAGCAGATTTAAAATAAAAATGTAGGTGGTTTTTCAGGGAGGCATGTAATTAAGCTGTGGAAACTTTACAAAGGCTACAAAAGACTGAACTCCATCAAGGTTTATTGCATACAGAGACATATTTGACTCACAATATCTCTGATTCTGAAATTGTTAGAGGCTGGAAAAGTATCCCAGGGAAGTTTCATTACAGGCCTGCTTTGCTTGCATATTCTTCCCTAGATACTAGCTTTCAGTCACTGCCAGAGACAGAATAAAAGGCAAGATGAGTCTTAGATATGAATCAGCAAAACCAGTTGTATACACTATGACTGAAAAACCCACTGAACTTGGGATTGCACGCAGTGCACCTCTGCACTGTTTAGCTGTTTGAGTAGTTTTGACGTTACTATTTCTATTGGCTAAAATGATGAATCACAGTGAAGTACCCATTACAAATACAAATCTTTCTGTTCACTGTTAGTTTGGTTTTTTTTTTTTCCTCTTTTCTTTTTAACTTTGTGTCTTAAAGGTATTATTAGATGACTTTTTTTAAGATTCTTTGTGCTGTATCAGTTGGACTTGCACGAGTTACTCAAAACACGAATCCACAGTTTGGAAGCTTGGAATGCTGTCTGAATTGGAAAGAAATGGCATGTTGGAGATAAAGGTGATGGGGGACAGTGCAGGAGAAAGCACCTATGAAGTGGATGAGGTGGTGAGCTGTGCGGGGGTGGTTCTGTAATAGCCCAGAAGAGGACACAAAGAGTCTCTGTGGCAAAAGTTCATTTCTTTTGTATTCACTGTTTCTTCAAGCCAAATGATTTCTTGGACTGTAACTTCTCTCCAGTTTATATGATTCATTAGTTTCCTCTTCATGACAACTCAAACAATGGTCTTGGATTTTCAGTGTCGAGGGAAAGTTCAATTTCCTAGGCATATTTACCAGCTCCAACATTTTTGTACATGTGCTTGTGTCAATTGCTTTAAACATACCCATGGAGATTTGGCTCAGTGCTTTGTTTTTGATTATAGCCTGTAATTTTGTTATTCTGTTGTCCCATAGGTAGCATAAACTTGTCCAGACTTTTGTTTCATCAAAGCATTTATTGATGCATGGATGAATAATGGTGAGAGCTTTAAATGTTCTGTACAACTATTTTTCTGATTCTCTTTCATCTCAGAACATTTTTCCAGCTTTTTCTTTTATAGACCTGTCTTGAAATTTCCACAAGTTTTTCCGCACTTGGTGAGTGTGCATCTTGCATTGATCTCCATGTTCAGCGATTTTCCAACAGTACTGATCCACTTATTCTGATTCTGATTATCTGTAATCCATTTCCCGGGTGGAATATTTATATTTATTATCTTCTTTCACCAATAACCAAAATAGCTGACTCAGTACTTTCCAGCAACACAAGCAATGACTGAGAACAGCTAGTACTACTATACAGTGTGATCTGTTTTTTTCCAAGTGATGATCAATACCAAACTAGGCATAAATACCACATACAGACCAATGTGAAAACTGCTTAAACTTTCAACTTTCTAGGAGTATTGTCTTAAAAAAGTAATTTTGACTGTTTCTGCAGAAACATAATCAATTCTTCTGTTCTTTCAATCAGAAACATGCTAAAAACCAGTTATATTTGTGATCCAACAATGAATCTTCCAAGAAGCAATGAAAGAAATTCTTGGATTCAAGGCTAGTACCTATGTTCTAAAAAATTTGCCTGAGTGGGGCAGAACACTGTAGTTCTGGATATTGTATAAAATCTGACAGAAAGCAAGGCTTGTGTCGTGGTTTTTGGACTGAGGGTCGAGACAAGAACCGAGCGGGAGCACCCACCAACCATGGTCTCGGGCAAAACATGACTCAGGCTTACTTCTTAAAACGAAATAATTTATTAACAGTTACAAGAGACACAAGGGAACAAGAAAACTGGTTACTTGAGAGGAGAAAGAGAAAACAAGGCCCGATCTTAAAACAACACCTCCCCACCCCCTATTTTCCTTTCGTTCCTGGCTCTGCCTTCCCCCCAGCGGCGCAGGGAGACAGGGAATGGGGGAGTACAGGTCAGTTCATCCATGTTGTTCACTGCCGCTCCTTTCTTAAAGGAGGAGGAGTCTTTACACCATTTTTCCCTTGCTTCGGTGGATCCCCTACTCACAAAGAAAAAGTCCCCAAACTTTTCCAAAGTAAGTCCTGCCCGCAGGATTGCAATCCTCCCCATGGATCGCACCAGTTCGGGCTTTACCAGTCTCGGCCTCTTAGGGAGCT